TTCTTTTTATGATTCTAGGAGACTGAAAKAATTTATTCCCTGAAGGATATACTTATGAGCACTTACTGGGGAGATGTTTAAAGCTGCAGGTTGTATAGACAATGACTTGTTATTTTCTCCAGGGACATGACAAGGAACACTTTCAGTTCAAATGCAGTGAAAGGCAGAGTCACCTGCAATACTTGAGTATTTTACCACAAAATGCAAAAGTAAAAATCACTTTGCTCAAGTCCATATGCTTTCTTTCTTTTCTTTTATTATGGGTACTGGGGATTAAACTCAGAGGCACTCGACCACGGAGCCACATCCCCAGCTCTATTTTGTATTTTATTTAGAGAAAGGGCTCATGAGTTGCTTAGGGCCTCCCATTTGCTGAGACTGGCTTTGAACTTGAGATCCTCCTACCTCAGCCTCCCAAGCTGCATGGATTACAGGTGTGCACTGCCATGCCCTGCTCCATACGCTTTCAAAGAGGTCTTTTGCTTTGGATTCAGTAAATTTAATGTGTGTGCTAATGACATGTAGCTGCACCCCTTCTGTTCCCACAGTCCCCTGCAATGACCTCTATCCACCACGCATGAGACATCTTTGGGGGGCAACTAGTCAGTGTTTCACAGAAGGACCACCCTGTAAAATATACACCAAATCACTGTGCAGGAAAAAACTGAGCTTGGTCAGTTCCCTTCTTGCAAGCAATAGTCATGTGTGTTCCCAAAGTACTTGGATCTCATTGGGCTCAACACCCATATTGCTKACCTTGCTGCCTCACCATAAGAACAAAACAAAACAAACATCACCTGGAGGAATGTAAAAGGTTCTTCCTTTCAAGATTAATGCAGATCATCAAAGGTGGTCTCAGTTTGCCTACCAGCAGGAAAAAAAAAAAATCCCTGACAGCTATAATGAAGCCTCATTCAGCACACTCATTTTACTGTGGCTATTTATGGCAGGCAAAGGATTTGTCCACGAAAGGGCTTTAGAAATACTTTCAATTGTTGGCTGAGCCAGGGACCATTTCTAGATGCCATCTTTAACAAAAGAGATTCTCAGGGAAGTGAACAGTGTCCATAATTACCTTGTCAGTGACAAAATAAAGTCAAAGAGATGGGCTGTAGGAAGGCCTACTATTAAAACACAATACCTCTTTGAGTGTCCACCAGCTTAGGAAAACCACAACCACTAAGCCACACAAAGAAACCAACCAGACTGTGAAGGAAATTGAGTTACTTCCAACTACACATCCAACCTGGATGGRTGTTAAATTGTATGCTAATGAACTAGCTTTCTCATCTAGTGTGATGTGGGAGTTTGTCTAACTCCACTTATATATCTACCTCCCCAAGTCTGCTCTGAGACTATTTTGGTTTTGACTTTCAGAGCATCGAATTTTGGCTTGTTATTTCAAAACAATGGCAAGYGTAATTATACCTGTGAAGTAGCATGAGCCCTACTATTTGTTAATTTTAAATTAAAATAAAAGGCTTTCTTCCTCGTTTTAATAGACAAAATATATTTCTTCATTTTGATTGACAAGCCAGGACAAAGAAAAGAGTACAATACTCATTGCTGTACAGAGAACCCTCAGTAAAAATGTTTTAGTTTACAGAGGATCTGAGTGCCGGAGGTGTGCTGAACACTTTGCACGTATTCTTGCCAACTCCACAAGATTTGCCACTCTAAAGATGAGGAAAGGAGGCTAAAAGTGGCGGAGAAACCTTCCCAAACATCTCACAGGAAGTGATGAAGCTCTTGGCTTGGCACAACTTGCTTTAGAGCCAAGGTTCTATGCTATACCATGCTGTTCAAATTTTCATATGCATATGAGTTAGCTGAGGATCTTGCCAAATGCACATTTTGAYTCTGTAGGTCTGGAGTGGGGTTTGAGATTGTACATTTCTAACAAACTCTCCAGAGACAATGAGGCAGCTGATCCACAGATGACACTTTGAATAGCAAGGCACTTTTTTTTTTGGCAGAGGCAGTTTTACTGTGGATTGAACTCAGGGGCACTCCATCACTGAACCACATCCCAGCCCTATTTGGTATTTTATTTAGAGACAGGATCTCACTGAGTTGCTTAGGGCCTCACTTATGCTGAGGCTGGGTTTGAACTTGGGATATACTCCTGCCTCAGCCTCCCGAGCAGCTGGTATGACAGGCGAGCACCACGGTGYCAGACTGGCAAAGCACTTTTCTACCTCAAAGACATAACTCCTTTCTCAACAGAATGGTATTTCAGGGAGTTTGAATCAGGCACCCTCCACTCATTATTTGACCCTGATATATCTGAAACAATGAGGAGACAAGGAAGATATCAATCCAGAAACAATAGTGGTTATGGAATGCATACATTTCCATGTATTTTTACAGTAAAAATGCATTAAAAAATCTTTCACAAAAGAAACTTAAAAAATACAAGTAGGGTGTTGACTCTGCTCCCCAACATTCTTTCAGGCATCAACTGTGTAAAAGAGGGAGGGGAATTCCTAAATGGTTTAAGTCATACAAAATTCTCATCCATCATCGCTCATCAACACATTTACAYGGAGTGGGGTGTTAGGGAAAGTAGGCTCACAAGAATCAGTTTCCAATTTAAGGTTACAGTAGTTCAAAGAAAACTAAATCTTTCTGCTTAATGCATAGTCCCTGTACAGTACAATATTTTCAAAGCAAATCTGATGTGTGGAACTAAGGTGAAATTACCACACCAAAAGTCCTCATGAACTGAGACAAGCTGGGGCGGTAGCACAGATTTTTAACACGKCAAATATCTCTTACAACAAGCAAGACAGTCAAGATGTTAACTTAAGGATACACTCCAAAAATGCACCTTGATTTCAATTATTTAAAACCCTGGACCCCAAATGAGAGTGTCAGTCATTTAACATCTCAGGTTGTGCTAGAACTAGTGAGAAAAATCCTAGCACTGCAGCCTTAGGAATAAAATCTCCAAGTTGGCTCTTAGGAAATTGACGGAAAAAACATCATTATTCAGTTGTACTCTTCCTCAGTCTTCCTCCTACAGCTCAATGTAAGCTTTGCATGGAAAACTTGGATAATAAAAATAGCATCCACAGACTTTTCCCCTCCTTTTTAGCTACAGAATGTACATTGTTTCTGTTCCAGGAAAGGAACTTGTTTTGTAAATGTCCACACTACTATAGCTATTCATTCTAGTGTTGTGTATAAACCCATAAATCAAATAAAGCTATGAACAATGTAATATTTATATATGCATAGTGTTTTATAAAAAGATTGGCCCACATACTGCTTTTCATCAATACAGAAAGAGCATTAAGTCCACAGCACACTGTAAGAAATAAATGAGTGAAGAACAGAGAATGCAAACAAGTGCTTAATAATTCACAAGCAGGCTCACCATGGAAGAAATGATGATATCCCAAACCAACTAAAGCTTTAGAGAATTACTTATATAGTCTCCCATTTTAAAACAACTTTACATACCTGATTTAGTTTACATTAAAATATATCCCCATGAATCAATTTGTTCATATTCAGAAATATAAACACATATCACATTCCTCACAGCTAAATTTTTGTCATAAATTCTCTTTTATACAAGAAAAAAAGGCAACATTTTTTTTTCAACAGGCTCTATTAATTACAATTTTTAACTCTGTACACACAATGATTGGCTGGCTGTCTTTTTTTTTTTTTAATCTTTTTTTTTTTCAATACAGTACCATGGGAACAACAGTGATTGACTTGCAAAGTTTTGTGTCTGTACGGAAAATGCAAAACAGTACTACAGAAATACACAATGCACTGTAAGCAGCGGTTTGCTGTAGTTTTCCAACAGGTACAAGCAAACRTTTTGGCTCAGCTAGGCAGTAATCCATTCAAACCACATCCTGGGGCTACAGCCGACCCAACCACACCACCTGAGGGTTTCAGGAAGAATGGGTCTTGTAAAAAAGAAAAATCATTGTTTTTGTTCTGCTGTCCAAAGACTAAAGGACAGGGTCATGAGGGCAGAGGTTTCCCAACCAGAACTAGAACCACTGGGATCACTTCCTTGCTTCCCCTTTGACCAACCTAAAAACGTTATGGTCTCAAAGTGCAATTGGCATTTCTATGAATGAGCAGCCCCAGCTGTCATTTCTTTAAATTCTCAAAAGAGAATTTCATCCACCAAACGTCACTCCTTCCTCCCTAATTTGGCAAAGGGCAATCATGGGCTATGCAAAAAAGGGGGCCATACTTTTCATCGCGGTGATATTTATGTCTCCCTCATACCCAGCACACTGTCCTACATTCCATCAAATATTCAGCTTCAAATCAGACCACCGGCCAGACAACACAGGTGTAGGTTGTCTATTCCTTCTAGTAGTTGAGTAAGGCTGCCATGGCACTGCCTTAAATGAGATCTTATTCCATGGGGGAGATGCTAATGAACCTGACAATCTGTGCTTAGGCTGTGTTTGGGTAATGGCGGCCAACCTTCTTGTCTCTGTGCCTTCCTGGGCCAGAGAGAGTACAAACTGTTTTGAATCAATTCTAAAACAAGCCAAGGACAAAAAAAAAAAAAAAAAAAAAAAAAAAATTTCTTTGTGCTGCCGCAGTTTAAAAAGCTATAAATATCCTTCATTTGCAATAGTAGTCTTGTCATTACAGTTTGCTTAATTTTAGGATCATTGGCAATCCTAATCCACCCCAAGAGGTCCCCAGTTTTTACAAATAGAAGTTTGCCTTTTTGCTTTGAAGAAAAACTCCTGTCTACAGTATAGCACTACATCACTATATAACAGTCTCGATCATTAATTAAACTTAATAATTTCCCGTCCTTAAAGAGAAACATGACCAACCACCCCATTTTAACAGGAGAGAAAAAGATTGCCCCCCAAAAAAGGGAAAAAAAAATTCTTGACAATTCTACGCCTTCTGTAGAAACAAAATCTATATCCCTTTGGGCCAGTATTTGGCAAATAATTTCCAAAAAAAGTATGCATTTAAAAATACTTTCTTTAATTTTTATACATCAGGCACAAGACTTTTCATATATAATTTTTTTTCTTAGAAGATCTCAAATGCATAAAATGTTTGTAGCTATTCATAGGATCACCAGGTGTCAGAGATGCTTCCTAAGGTAAGAAAACTAAATTATCTCAGGTTTGTGACCTTCCTCTTAGAACCTTTGACATGGTAAAGGTTGGAATGCGTGTCAAGTCTCAGATACTGAGGTCGGTGCTACATTCTTTATAAGGTCGCCTCCTCTGCTCCGGGGGATTTCTGGAACTTCTGCCCAATTCCTGTTTCAGAGTCGCCTCTTCCCGCTCTCGGTGGCCACCTCGGTCCTCTCGGCTCCTTTTGTCCAGCGAACGCTCTCGGCGGCGCTCGGGGGACCGGGCCCGTCTCCGATCGGTGGACTTGGCCCTCCTCTCGGGCGAGGCCACTCTCCTTCGCTCCGGGGACCTTCTGGGATCCAGGAGTCTTTCGAGGGACCGCCGCCGCCGGCTGGGCGAGCTGTCCCTTCGGCGCGTGGGGGACCGCTCCCGCCGGCGCTCGGGAGACCCCTCCCGCCTCTTCTCGGGCTTCTCCCTCCTCTCCAGGGTGGTGTCCGCGCTGCGCGTGCCGTCTCGGCGCTTCTCCGGAGACCTCCTCTTGGGCCCGTTGGTCGCCATCCGCTCGGCCTGCGCGTCTCGGCGTCCCTCGGGCGCCCGGTCCTTGGGTCGGCAGGCCGCGCCGTCGGGTTTTCGGGAAGTTCCATTCCAGGTGTGGTGTTCATTGGGTTGTCTGCTGTACTCTCGGCTGCCTTTTGGGTCTCTCACGTGTGCCCGCTTCTCCCCATGTGGTGATGATTTGTGAACGTCGGGTGGGTAACTGGACTCCAATGATGGGTGCTGGCGGCCGGACGGTCCGGCCCTCACTTCCGGAAAGCCTTGTGCACCGGCGGAGGGGCCGTTCCGGTCGCTGCTGGGGTCTGCGAGGAAGAGAGAGGAGAGGCCTAGTTAGGTAGGGAGGACCTGCTTGTTCCAGTCCCCGCTCCCTCCCGTGCTCGACTCATTAGTCACAACAAACAACTGTTAAAAGCCATCAGAGTCAAAGCCAACTCAGTCTGGGTTACGTTATGTATAACTGCAACTAGTTAGGGTTACCAACTAGTACTTGTGGCTTTCAGCATCTGGCTCTTTTTGATACCCCAGACAGATCATTAGAGAATTTATTAAATCAGGCATGATTTAGTCTTTAAAGGCACACCCCAGGTAGTCTGTCTACAGGTGCCAAAACCTCACCCCCTTACCTATCCCCTGCCTCTCTCCTCCCCATCTACCAACCCTTCTCCTCTTCCCCACCCTACACTGCCCCCAAGAAAGAAAATCTCCTTTCCTTTAAAGAATGCTTGTTTTAATTTGCTTAAAAATAATCTAGGACATTGACCTGGAGGGGCATAGGAAGCTTCTTGGGGAACAGAAGTAGTCTATGGCTTATCTGAGTGGTGATCTAAATGTGTGCACACAGAGATGAAGACTCCAATACACCACACACTCAGGATTCACGTATTTTTACCATATGCAAAGAATATTTATACTTTAAAACAATAATCCAAGGTGTTAAGCAAAGGGGATTGTGGCAGCAACATAATGGCCAGGTGCTGATTGGCAAATGTCACATGCACTTGAGGGACCACTGAACTATACTTTTGTGTGTGCTATTCAACTATTTTGTCTACTTTTGTATAAATTTAAAAATAAGGAACCATCTTTCAAATGCAGAGCTTTCTGGTAGATAAAAGGGAAGGGGAAAGAGGTGGTTAATTACATATTTGCAATTAGACAGGGCTCACAAAATCCTTAAGTTTAAAGGCAGTTTTTCTGTATGGTATATGAAGCAGTCATAACAATATCGAGGAACTATGGAGCCACTGGACTGCTCCTTTTTTTTTTCCTTTTGAAATTGTTACATTATAATTATACATGACTGGTGAAGGAGAGTGATCAAATTATATGCATGTATGAATATGGCATAATGGATCTCACTATTATAGACTGCTTCTTATACCACCAAGATGTCTATAGGTTTAAAAGCAGGGCAGCATCATGAATTTATGAGAGCCCAGGGATGCTTTGTTGCAACTAAACGCAACAAATTCCAGGAGCCTAAAATATTGTGTTGCAGTATGGAGGGCAGACCCATGTGACGGAGAGGAGGGAATCACTGGGGCTCTTAAAAGATCTTTCATGAGGCAGCCAGGTCTCTATTCAGCAATTAATATGTTTCATGAAAGATCTTCCAACACCCAGCATGGCTTTTAGCAAAAGCAGGTACATAACCTAAAGCAGGGATTAGCAAAGTTTTTCTAAAAGGCCAGGTAGTAAATATTCTGGACCACAGTCCCTGTTGCAACTGTTCAAACCAGCCACTGTGGGGCAAAAGCACAGGCAACACAAAACAGAAATGGGTGTGTGGCTATGCATCAGTAAATCTTACTTACAGACACAGGCTGTGGTCAGGATTTGGCCCCTAGGTTGTAGAATGCCAGAGATACCTGAAGAATGGGGGAATCTCTTCCCATCTGGCAAAGCCCTATCTATCTGGGTGAGAGCTCTGTTGTATAAGGATCATTCTTTCTAAAGGCTGGGTGGACTATCAGAACGAAGACAAAAGTCATCTGACATTTGGGTAAGGGAAGGTCCTCAGATCACTATTCTAAATCTAACCTTGAAATCTTATTAGGCCTACTTTCAAGACAAGGGAGAGCAACACTTCAACAGGGGTCAGCGGTGTACTTACAATTCCAAGAACGCAGGGTGCTCAGAATGAATTGCCAAACATATCAAAATAGAGCTAAGCAGAAGCAATGAGGAAATTAGGCCACAGCACAGAAACACCTAGTATTGATTGAGCTACAAACCGTAGTTTGATTATGGCCCATAAGGTAGAAGCAAGCCTCCCCGAGCTTTTCATTTCTCATACATGCAGCGATATTAGGAGGTATCATCGCTGTAGAAGGGAGGGCCCAGCACCAAGAACAGTCAGAGAGAGAAAGAGAAAGAGAGAAAGAGAAAAAGTTGAACATTTAGATTCCCTATAACAAGGAGGAAAGAAAAAAAATCTGCATTTGTTAACATAGGGCAAAGAGAGTTTATTTGTCCAGTCAGACAGTCTAAGGCAACACTCAAATAAGGCTGCAGAGACCGCAATTGGAACATGACGTACGTCTTTAGACAGCCATCAGATGACTTGAGAACCCAGACAATGAATGCATCCTTTTTTTTTTTTTTTTTTTTCAAACAACTGGAACAATGACAGGCTGGCATAGGAGAGCATTAACAATAAACAACAAAAGAACAAAGTCCCTCCCCACCCCCCCCAGACCGCGGCAGTTAAATTAAGTACAAAAACTCATTACAAAAATAGCCTCACAGAGAAGCAGGTTCCAATCAAGTCAGAAAAATATTGGAACTTAACATATTATAACCCATTTGTGACTCTAATCAATAGAATTAGAGAGGTTTAGTCCAAATGACGCATGGAAACATTACAGCAGCACAACCCTGGCAATGTTCAACCCTTTTTGGAAAACCATATATTTAAATGATCTTTATTATTATTATTATTATTTTTTAGCCCAAAGAACATTTGTTAGTGTTGGATTTTCATCCTCAGTGCAACAGACATAGGTTTGGAGAAGGTACACAGGTTACTGACGATGACTCTCAAATGAAATATCACATCCGACAGAAGGCATAGGGAAGACAGAAAAGGAAGACAATGTTACACAGCTTCAGTGGCATCAATACACCTAACAGTCAGAAGTTTAGTACAGTACGCAGCCATGTCATCTGAATGTCGTCATGAACTTCCCCTGTGGTTGGCCGGGCCTAAAGGGGCCTTGTCTGAAACCCACCCTCCCCCATTCCCTCGGATCCCTCATATTGTGCACCTGTATCCATGTCCAACACCAGGGGAGGTTGCCTGCATGGGAGCTGTTCCCCTCCTTGAGCTACATCTGAATGAAGGATCTCATCAAGGAAGTCCAAAAATGCAACTGGGAATTGTGCAGAGTGACTTTCAGAAAAGAGGGTGATAACAGATAAATCCCTAATAAAGGGGACCAATGTATATGGGGATCATTCGATTACAGTTTCTATAGAAACTTTTGTAGACCTTTGGTTGGGAAAAAAAAGCCCTACATCTAGGGCATAGCTTTTTTTTTTTCTCTTTTTTTAAAATTTTAAACAAGAATCTCAAATAAATAGGACAGAATTATTACAATATACAATATTTTGCCATCAGAACACTAAGCTAGGTAAAGATCATTGCCGTCTACTCAAATCATGTCTAAAGATATGACAAAGGAACTCTACGTATAACCTGGCTTTCCTCACAGGAAAGGTATAGTAACATGTTTCCCTCATGATGAGCACTGGGAATCTATTTCGTCCTTCATCACTTAAAAACATATGGCTAGTATGTCAACAGTTTTTGTTCGTTTGACAGTAGTGGGCTCAGGTGGTCTGATTTGGGGTCAGAGACCAGTGGAGGGATGCAGAATTTTTGGACGCAGAGCATCTAGGAGGTGAGCAAAGCCCCCAAATCATCTTGAAATTTCACGCCTCTTAAATAAAGACATCAAGTAACCGAAAAAAAGAAGAAAAAAATATATATATATATTTGTGCCTCATCATATCACTCAGGAAACCTGCTTTCCTGCTTCTTAAAAGGAGTATAGAGTCATTTTGTGCTAACAATTGGATCTGAGAAACAGTTTGGCACAGTTCAAACAAACATTCCTTCGCTCTTGGTCGGACTAGACAAAATGTTCTCTCTGATTATCAGAAAGGGGGCTCTAAAGATCTTGTCCTAGGCCTTGCCCCAGTCCACAGAAGCAAGCAAAAAGATGAAATGTGGAGAGATTTCAGAACAAGCGAAGCAAATAATCACATGGTGCGAGAGGCTGTAAGACACTGGTGAATGGGGAGACAGAAAGGACTTTCCTGCTGCCGTTCTGGAGACAGAGTCATGGAGTCATGCCAGGGAAGGAAGGAATGTTTTCATAGTTTGACCCACCATATTCCGGGACCGAGCCGTCTCCCCGCCTCAGAAACAGACGAACTCTGCGGCCACCATTCTTAATCAGTTCAATGGCCCGAGAATGCTTCATGTTTTTGGTGGTCTCGCCATTGATCTCTAGAATTTCATCACCAATCTGCCATGGTAGGAATAGAACATAGAGAGTCATAAAAAGAAAGAAATATAAATGGTCAACACAGATACGAAAAGATGTTTAACATCTCTAACAATTAGAGGAATGCAAATTGAAACTACTCTGAGATTCCATCTCACTCTAGTCAGAATGGCAATTATCAATAAATGTTGGCAAGGATTTGGGGAAAGGTTCACTCATACATTGCTGGTGGGACTGCAAATTGGTGCAACCACTGTGGAAATTTGTATGGAGATTCCTCAGAAAACTTTGAATGGAACCACCATATGACCCAGTTATCCCATGCTTCTGTTTATACCCAAAGGACTTAAAATCAGCATACTACAGTGACATAGCCACATGAATGTTTAGTGGAGCTCAACTCACAATAGCCAAGCTACAGAAACAACCTAGGTGTCCTTCTATGGATGAATGGATAAAGAAAATGTGGTATATATGCACCATGGGATATTACTCAGCCATAAAGAAGAGCGAGATCATGACATTTGCTGGTAAATGGATGGAAACTGGAGACTATCATACTAAGTGAAATAATTCAGTCCCCCCAAACCAAAGGTTGAATGTTCTCTCTGATGTGCGGATGCTTACCCATAATAAGGGAGGGTGGAGGGGAAGTATAGAAGTTTATTGAATTAGATGGAGGGGGAATGGGAACAGGAAAGACAATGAATCGTACATAATTTTCTTATGCACATATACGAATACATGACCAGTGAAACTCCACATCATGTTCGGCCACAAGAATGGAATCAAAATTGTAATGGGTTGAATGTATGTATAACATGTCGAAATACACCCTACTGTCATGAATATCTAAAAACAAACAACAACAACAACAGTAAAAACGCAAGTCACTACAGATGCTTCCTCACATCTACTCCAGCCTCCTTTCCCTACTTACCCTCATCTTTCCACATCTTTCTGCAGGACCATCCTCTGCTAAGCGCAGAACATAGAGGTCCATGTTATATTCTCGACCCCCTCGAAGACTAAAGCCAAATCCCTTGGCTCCTCTTTCCAGTTCCACAGTGTAAAAATCTTGCTCCTATTTAAAGAAATTAAATGCAGTCATTCAGGTAGAACTGCTATCCACACATGTTTCTCTCATGTCTTCCCAAACATTCCATGTCATGTTGATTTGGCCTAAAGGCATAGTCTCTAATCCTCTCTTGGTGACTCTTAAGTGCTTATTAGTCATCCTCATTAATCTTCATTAATATCAGAAGTTGGAAATCCAGAATTTGAAACACTTAGGATCATGCTTATACCTATGCACATATTAAAATTCAACTAGAAAGGTTGCAATCTGCATTTGGGGCAGGAAGCTTCTTCATCACATGATACCATCCATTTGTGGCTGGATGTTCAGCTTCCTTGAGCCTGGCCTGAGAAGCACCAGGGTTTACGATTAGCACTGTGTCTGCGCCAACCTCTGCAGTCTGAGGACTGGTTCCCATTCTCTTTGGGCTAGATCACAAGTGGACTACTGAAGGGTCCACAGAGGCCAGCAGAAACCTATTTATCTTGGCATCACCCAGTGGTTCCCAGATTTGTTTCACTTGTTAACCATCTTGAGAGGCAGGTGTCCTGGCTCTCACCTGAAATCCACAGTCCCCAAAACCACTTTAAAAAAACAACAAAAAGATTTTCTTGAAGAACTATGATTTTGCAAACAGTTATTTGCAAACAGATGCTTTGCTTTTTCTCTGACCACTGATCCTTGTGACAGCTTTTCAGTATTTTGGTCTTATTTTTTTCTCTCCCTACCAAAGCATATCTAGGAATATTTTTCAAAGGTAGTAAAATAAAAGCAAATATGAGTATATATGTGGAAAATCCCTGCACAAAAGGCTGTGTATTTTAAATTAAGGATGCCCTTCAAAAAATATCTTGTAAAAACAGCTTCAGAAAATTGGAAGGAAATGAGCAAAAAAAAAAGAAACAAAAAAAGGGGAGGGGGGGAGGACCCTCACCTGGGTAGCCTGGGGAGCTTTGAACTCGAACTGAGATTCCGGCTTTGGTTTGGCGGTGTTCCTGCCAAAGTGAGAGAAATAAATATAACAGCAATGCAGAGGGGGACAGAGAAAAGAACGGAAAACATGAAAAAAGGACAGGTCCCTTTTTCCCCTTTAAAGTAACAAAAGGAACCAAAGTCTCAGCTGACCTTGTCTCCTGGGCCCCCTGCTGAGAAGGGGTGTGTGTGGTGGTGATGGTGGCAATCTTTTCTGCATTGGTCAGCAAGGTGGCATTTGAGGACTCTGTGGGACAGAGCATAAAGAAATGAAGGCCTGAGAGAAGACATCATCCAGCTGGGAGGTGAGCAGAAACCCTGTCTCTAAGTGACAAATCTGACTTCCCTGTCCCCATTTCAATTAGTTGGACTCAAATTTCTAAAGACTCAGGAATTTAATGAACCATCCTAAGATCTTCTCTGCTGTGGCTCATGTATGCCCCCCACTGTGACCCTCCTCCTAAGCAGACATTCCCTCAAATGAAATAGGGTTTGCCAGGGGAAAAGCTGCTCTAAAATTACAGCCAGCATGGGTGTGTCTGACTCCTCCCCGCCACTGAGAGGCCGCAATCCATCAAAACACTGGGCCGCCCCGGAGGTATTTCACAGGATTTTACAGGCTGCTAATAAATGTCCCTGCTAACATTTCCTGCAACTTATCAGCAGCATTTGGTGAGTATGCCCGATTTCCTCATGTGAATATTAAATTCAGAAGTGAGCTAACATATTTTTAAACACAAATAACATCTCCTTTCTTCCTCATTGCTTTTCATAAAGCACAAGTGAAAATATGGAACTCTTGACAGATCTCCATCTAGTAACACTCATGAAAGATTAATTTTAAAACCTGCATTAGAAGAACCAGAGTTATAAACATAAGTTGTATAAATCATGAAGCTGCTTTAAAGTAAGGAATAGGATTATGTTCCTATGTAAATTGACTCTCTTCTTCACTCATCACATTCATAAGCAACTTCATAATCTCTACAAGTTTGGAGACTCAGAATCTGAAAAAAAATCATAAAAACAACAAAAACTATAGATAACACATCCCTGTGTATGTATTAAAATTTAATCATTCGTATGGTAACAGATATATGCTTTTTTGCTAATAATTTCTCCATTAAAATCAAGGCAAGTAGCAACCACTAGGAGCAAGCCATACATTTAATATTTATTCTTAAATGGACTCTCAGGAACTTGGCTTTTATTTTCTCATCAAGAAAATACTAGGGGCTGGGGCTGTAACTCAGTGGTAGAGCGCTTGCTTGCCTAGCATGCGTGAGGCACTGGGTTTGATCCTCAGCACCACATGAAAATAAACAAAAAAATAGAAGAAAGAAAAGAAAGAAAGAAAAGAAAATACTAACTGTGGTTGTTAGGTTCTAAAATTAGCCTGCAAGTACCCATTTAATCAATAGTGAGGGCTGGGGATGTGGCTCAAGCGGTAGCGCGCTCGCCTGGCATGTGTGGGGCCCGGGTTCGATCCTCAGCACCACATACCAACAAAGATGTTGTGTCCACCGAGAACTAAAAAAAAAATAATTAAAAATTCTCTCTCTCTCTCTCTCTCTCTCTCTCTCTCACTCTTTCTTTAAAAAAAAAAAAATCAATAGTGAACCATGAGGTCTAGAAGATTCCCTGAGTTCTATGCTTCCTAGTACTTCGATGTTTGTTGACTACATTGGGTGTAAGGAGGTTTCTATGAGATAATATTTTAAGTACTTCAAACTAAGAAGCCTGTAATCAATCAATCTCTCTCTCTCTCTCTCTCTCTCTCTCTCTCTCTCTCTCTCTCCCACACACACACACACACACACCTCCCTTCCACTACCCTCCCCACCCCTTGCCCCCCTACAGTCCTGGGATAAGAGACCTTCTATGCACCCAATGGCTGGTGGTCTCTCTCCATTTTAATTTCCTGAGAACACTGTTCAATTCGGGTCTGGTGTCCTGTTACTTTACTTTCATGACAAACAGGGGTTAAAAGTATGTGTTTGAGATTCACACAGAATTCAAATCCCTCTTTCTCCACCCATTAATGGTGTGCCTGGCTCTTCTCACCCAGGATGAGGGAATGCTGCCGATCGATCTGTCCCTCTCAGGATGAAAGGATGCGAGACACACAGCATCAGTGCTAGACTACAGCTTGCACTCAACACATGCACTACACTACTGTGGAGGCATCTTTAAGTTAGGGAAACTCTCTGCAGCAAGAGAAGGTTAAGGAAGATTTTAACAGTTTATATGCCAGCCATAAAAGTCCCTGATTCTTATAGCCATGCCCAAAATTAATAAGATAATGTAGGTAGAAAGCATAGTTTTATGAATCTTATTCGTGTTTTAGGACAATGTTTCTCACAATGTGTTCTACAAATGTTTCTACAGATTCTGAAGGAAAAGAACCTGTGATCCACTAAGTCTGGGAACTAAAGGGTGAAACAAAGGGAACACAGATGTCTGGTTGCTTGTTCCTATGGACTCTTCAGAGCATTTACTGGGCTAGTGTGACTTGAGACCCTTGGGTCAGGCAAAGGCTGTGCCTCAAGCTTACTGGGAGGCAGGTTAGCCAAATGGTTACAAGGGTCAGATTCTGAGTCAGACTGCCTCGCTTTGCATAGTAGGCTGCACTAGACAGGACGAGAGCAAAGCCATTTCAACTTTCAGTGTCTCAGTTTCCTCATCTGCACAGGAGAATGACAGAAATATCTAAGGAAAGTGGTACAGTGATGATCTAAGAGGAACTGTTAGGGACAGTACCAGACACATTAGTGCTCAAAAAAATTATTAGCATACTTTTAGTATGTATTATTATAATATTAAAAGCATATTACTGGTACATTTTTAGGATTACTATTGTAAATGGTTTTTTTTTAGAGCATTTGGAAGGTCATTAGCACCTTCATATCACTCCCATTCAAGCACAGTTAACTGGCAAAACCGATGAATCTAAGTGATATTTCATACAAGTCATCCACCGGGTCAGTACACAGGACACACAGACTGTCAGTGACACTCACCAGAACTCCCATAAACTCTGGTCCTTTAGCTAACCTCATACAGCTCATTGTAACTCATTTTATAAAGATTCTCTGGGAAATCTTAAGATCATTTGGGCCATGGGGAAATCACAATCAGGGTACCAAAAAAGAACGTTTCTTTGTAATTAAAGTGATTAGAATTACTGAATTGTGAAGAAGTTCCCATTTGGAGTTATTATGTGTTCTTGGTAGCTGGAATATTCCAGGAAGATGGAATCCTATTCTCAAATGATTTTTCATGTTTCTGCTGCTTTTATGATTTAATGAGATATAACAGATAATCACTCAAAACACATATAAACAGAATGTCCTTATTAATTTTCCTCTTATCCTTCATTTGCTGTTTTCCCCAATTATATTTACATGCAAATCTTTTTTAGGGTTGCAGCTTCACTTTGAGCATTTTAAAGAAATTAATGCTTAATATGCAAATGCCTATTTGAGCTCACGGATTTTTCCTTATTTTGCATTTTTTAAAATCTATGAATAACCACCATTTACAAGACCATGTACAGAGTGCCAAGTAAGCACTGTACTGGGACTACGACCATGTGCACTACTTCAATTGATGGCCACCATTTCATAAAACAAGTGCAAGTTATTGCCCCGTTTATAGATGGAGAGGCTGGGGCATAGGAAAGGTAGGAAGCTGCCCAGGATCACCCAGGACAAGTAATGGGAATCAAACTGGGGCTTGCCTGAAAGTGTGCTTTTAGTCTTACTGTTCACATGGGGATCTGTGTTGGTATCCAGAAAATCATACCTGATTGACACCTCCGTTCATGTAAGCAATGTTTTCATTTTACTGCATAACTGCTACCAATTTCTCTAGGCAGTATCCTAGATTAACCAAAATACAGAATGCTCTGCTTGGACTACTGAATTTCATGGGTTATTTTCAGAGGACCAAAAAAATTTTAGCATGGCCTTATAATATCAATAAAGTTAGACTTGTTTTCATAAACTTTTAAGTCTTCATTTGGAATTAAACCAAAATTGTATCTGCTGAAATGTTCTCTAACTTTTTAAAATATAGAAATGAGGTCCATTATCAAAAATTTATAGCTCTATCCCCAAAGCAAAACTTGCCCTGTATAATAGGAAAAAAAAAACATAAAAGAGCCTGAAAAAGAGTCTAGCCTCCTCACCCTCCAGCAGCGATATTATAAAGGAGTGTCAATGTATTTGACTTTTAAAAGACTAAGGCAGATGGACCTATTGGATATTTTTATGGATATTCCAGAAAGTGCCTCCCACATTCTTTATTAAACAGAGTTTATACCTACTTTAGCTCTCCCAGAGGAATGAAAATGGATATTAATATACTTTCCATAGCAATCACGTATCAAGAAAAACAGCTCTTAAGCATGTCATGAGGCTGTTGGAAATCAGGGCCCTCACTCTTCTGACAGGAGCTTCTACCTTGGGTTTCAGCCTATCTCTGTGACAAGTGATTATGATTCTAGCCTTGTTCCTATGTCAATGTTCTTACCCTTCCTTCCGGAATCCACATGAAAAGCTAAGCAAATCAACAAAGAACATGATCATTTCTTTCATAAATATTTGATTGTGTAAACATATGTGTCATAAATACTGAAGGCGACATTGGAAAATCTGAACCCCACAAATATGTGGAAAGTTCAGGGAGGGCTTTTTACTATCTATACCTTTGCCAAGGAAATAGCAATATCTGTGTTGCCAGCTTGTCTCCTCCAAAAGCAAACACTCTGAATCAGGTGAACTGAAGAAGAAATTCAAGACCACAATTCAAATTATATGTATATATAAAGCTCTTAGATATTCTCATTATCTTGAACATGATTCCACATTAGTTTGGTTCAGGCTCTGCTCTGATTACTCTTCTTCCCACTCAGAATAAGACTACATGGGCATTTCTGTATGATGCAAGTGTGGTCTGACTTGTTGGAGATCAAGTTCAGATTCAATCTGTTCAGCTACTTAGGCCTTTCTGTGCGGCTGTTGTGTATTTACTATCCCTTGCCCATATCTCACAGAAGAAAAGGTTCTCCCCTAACTCAACCTCCCACCCTGACCCCAAATTCATAAACGACAGAGAAGTATAGACTCCCTGGTCACAGCCCAAGATCTGTGGAGGTAAACCTTCTAACAGCACAGACATGCCAAATAAAAGGGAGTTATATTTTGGAGTTTTGTTAGAGAGGTAAGAGAAATGGGAGAAGCAAGTTAGGGAAACTAAAGTCTGAGATCAGGGAAACTGGAAAAAGAATGAGGAATTTGATGACAAGAAAACAGACTTGGGTAGCATGAGTTAAAGAAGTGGATTCAGCCAGGCATGTGGCGCACATGTGTAATCCCAGTGGCTCAGGAGGCTGAGGCAAGTTCAAGGCCAGCCTCTGTAAAAACAAGGCTTAGAGCAACTCAGTGAGATTCTGTCTCTAAATTCAATACAAAAAATAGGGCTGGGGATGGGGCTCAGTGGTTGATTGCCCCTGAGTTCAATCCCTGGTACCAAAAATAGTGGATTCAGAGGGTTTCTGAGCACTGACCAAATGAGGGGGAATCTTCTCGAAGCGCCTCCTGGAGTTTCTAAGAACTGTATTTCAGACGTGATAGATCTCTTAGAACCATGCTAGCTAAAAACTTCAAATTCCCTGTAGATACCATGAAACAACTGGTCTTTGGGCTACTTGATGAGGTAAATATCAGAATGAAAGATCTGAAGGAGACCAGAGAGCACCTCCCTATACCTCCACAGTCAGCCATGTCTAACTTGCACACAGAGGAAGTAGATCAAGCAAGATTTTCTCTTCATCACACTGTCATGGTCATTCTACTTCTTGTAGGTGTTTGAGACATTCTCCTGGATTGCTATCTAATTCCCCCAGAAATCTAATTCCCCTGCCTCTGCTCTAATTTCCAAGATGGCCCCTTAAAGATGAGCATTGCACTTCACCTTCTGATAGAAGTGATTCCCTTTACTTAGATCTTGATACTTACAAAGTCACTGGCAAAAACTTTTATTATCATGGCAACAATGATAGAACATTTTAGAAACAATTTAGATGAGATCAACCTCAGCAGATCATGGGCCATCTTTAAAGATATCAATCCTTCACTACTTTATTTTACTATCTTCTAAGGAGCACAAGAGATCTGCCTGAATTTTATAAGCACTGAAGTTTTAAGAATTCCTTTTTATTGCCAACTGTTAGGGGCAATCCACAGTGCATTATATTTTTGGGGGTTCAGGTTTTCAAAAATACTGTGACTCTACTTCACTAACTCAACACCTAGTATGTGCAGTGTAGTATAAGTTGCTTTTGCATATGTTTGTCTTTTCTGATTTCAAACTCTTTCTCTATGCCCTTCCTGCAAGGAGAGCTTTCTTTCCTTCTTTTCTGAGACATTCCCATTCCCATATTAAAACAAACCAGCACAGAACCGGCAAGTCAATTCCTGTTTCCCATTCTTCTGGATTATTTTTTGCAATCTCTCTATAGTATGAAATAAACATGCCTTGGGTCTCTGAACCATTCCTCACTCCATTTTTCTGGTTTCATTTATCCTTTCCATTAAGAATCTATGTTTCCACATTTTATCATCATGTGCTCACTTTTGTAAACTGTAATAGCTTTCCAGAGTGGTAATTTGGTGGAATGGACTTCAGACCAGATGGTAAATTACTAACCATGATCGGAAAGAGGGTAAGGAAGACCACCATTCAAGGAACTATTTTCTTTCTCTCCAATTGGTATGGGATATTTTTGGCACAAAGAAAGTTTTCTGTTCTTAGAATGTTAAAATTTCAAATATTTACTGTTTAGTTTTGCATTTACTTGTTCTGAAAATCACTAGCTACATCAATCAAAACCTGAACCAAAATACTCACTTTCTCATAATTACTATATAAAAATACTTATTTGGTGAATGACTTCCAGATAAAATGTTTGATTTTCTTACTTTATTGGATCTATGACAAAGCATGTTTTTACAGCACTATCTATATAAACCACATTTCTCTCTTGAGAAATACTCAGTGGCTTTTAGAATATGTATTTTATTTTATAGCATGTATGGAAAGAATGAAAAACGGCAATTAAACATTTTGTAACAAGTTATAACTTTTGTCCCAAGGGCTAGGTTGGTGTAGGATCAATTATTTATCAATCAATTATTCAGGATTTAAGTGCCAAAGCAATCTATACTTACTGATATTAGTGTTATCAACTTCATGTTTACAAAATATGAGTAAGAAGACAAACACTGATATTTTTGCACTGGGTTATTATTATGGAGGCTGTTTTGTGTACTTTAGGACATTTGGGAACATCTCTAGTCTGCACCCACTAAGTGCCACTGCCAACATTGGCAAATGTCCTGGTGTTCTGGCAGCGGGTGGGGTAGGGAAAAACCAATGATTTGACTTTAATGAGTCAAGCAAATAGGCATAAAAGAATAGTTCTAATTTAATGTAAATATAATCTATGAAAAATGAAGATGTTTAATTTTTTCTTCATCTATATGTAAAAATTTGGGCTACAAGTGATGGCACACACCTGTAATCCCAGCAGCTCTGGAGGCTGAAGGAGGAGGATTGTGAGTTCAAAGCCAGCCTCAGTAGAAGCCAGGTACCAAGCAACTCATTGAGACCCTGTCTCTAAATTAAATAGGGCTGGGGATGTGGCTCAGTGGCCGAGTGCCCCTGAGTTCAATATCTAGTACCCCCCTCCCCCCAAAATTAGGACAAATCAAGTAGGCATAAACACTAAGATTTTCTCATTAAATAAAAATTTTGATACATTCACTTATTGTGAAAGAGCATAGTATTGGCTCTGCATTCCTGTTAGGTAGGTTTTGAGAAGTTGCCATATTCTACTATTAAATTTCAGTGATGATTTGAAAAGGGCATTCATGAGTTCCAGACAGAACATCAGGTAATCTTTACTACTTGCATGAAAACTTACAGTTTTCTGTATAGTTTTGAAGGGGCACACTGGAGGCTTTCTGGAGTTCTATCTGTAGCAAGATAGGATCCCAGGGCGATGGGATGAATTAGATGAGGGTGAGATGTGGTTTAGTAACAATGGCTATGTTGGTTTGATGGGTATGTTCAGTTAGGGACTGACAAAGCTGCCTCTAAGTCAAAACTATTCAATTACATGAGCATTAATGAGAGAGAGAAAGAGAGAGAGAGAGAGACAGAGAGAGAGAGAGAGAGAGAGAGAGAGAAAACATGAGAGAGAGGGAGAGAGATAAGAGGTATACTTTACCATCCCCAGGAATGATGCGGAGGGTAACTGTGTTTCCTGCTTCCTTGATTAGGTTGACAATGTCTGAATGGGATTTGTTGGTGATGGAACATCCATTTACTGCCAAGATCCGGTCTCCTACTTTCAGCTTGCCACAGCGGTCAGCAGGGCTCCCCTCAATAATCCGACCTATTTTGTGAGGCATAGCCACACATGCATTGCCTGCTTTGATATTGAGTTTTAAGTTTTTTTTTTTTTTAAGTTACGTGGGAATATAGTGAAGGGAGGAGAAAAAGGGTTGAAAAGGGAAAGAGAAGGTTAAGTGTTAATTAATTAAAGCATTAAGCAAATGTTATTAAAGGAGAGCTCTGTGCCGACGGTCAAAACATTGGCAATACTAGGTGCCTAGCTCTGAGGCCATGCCCTGAACCAGAGTTCACGGCTGTAGCTATTCCCCGATTCCAAGGGAAAAACCCTTGTCTCCCTCCTACAACAATTGCACAATCTGGGCTCTCTGGCAACTTCAAAGAGACTCGAGAGCCCCAAATAGCTTACTGTTGGCTTATTTAGGGACCACAAATGTGAGGCCCAGAGCAGGGCAGGGGAGGGGGGGGATGCTTTTCACAGAGTCACTTCGTTTTTTACCAGCTGTTGTATAAGCTGCTGCCAATGTTTTGTTCTTCACCATTTAGAAAAATAATCCCTGGCTTTCTGGTGAGGTCTAAGAGTCTCCTATACCCCAAATTCAATCTGAAATCACTAATGGACCAGCACTTTCTGCCTTCTATTCAGAATGATGAAAGCTGTAGAAAAGGGGCATAATTACGAGAGATGAGCCAAGAAAGCATCCAACCTTGACACTTCCTTTCATGATGGGACCTCTGCTCAATCGGCCCATCTCATGTGCTTTCAGGGGAGGGCCCAGAAGGCTCATTAGCTCCAAAATCCTCCTCCTGCCTCCCAAAACTCCCCCCAAAGGAATATGAGAACTTAGTACTCGTTCAGACGGAGGATGCTGACCCAAAGCCAAGTTCAAATCAATCCTCAGCCCCTTTTCCTTTCATCATTTCCTTTCTCATCAACAGTTAGTATACATCCACAATCTGCATTACCAGGAAAAGGGTATTTGAAGAGTGCTTGGAGATACTCCATGTCACTACTAGCTTCTAGAGAAAGGTAGAAATTGGCTTTGAGGTCCAACATGGGATTTCCAGGTCATCAGATATCAAGTTTCAATGTTTTTATTCATATGCATCTATTTTGAGAATTAGTGTTTCTGGGAAAAATAAAAATGTGAAGCCACCTTTCAGGAAGGTGGCAAAATTAACATGGCAGACCATGAAACTACTTGAGTTGGAACTTCCAACATAATTTAGACCTGAGGAGTCAATGGTGGGGGAAAGTACCCATTATTGCTTTAATTTCAGCAGATTTGCCCAAGTTTCAAAAGAAGGTAAGCTTTCTCCTAGAAGCTAACAAACAGGTGTGGTGGGAGCAGGGAGACTCAGACACAAGGTCTCGAATAAGTTTAGCTCATCTCCAAGGAGAACTCGCATGGCAAAGGGATCAAACAGCAGGTTCAAGGAAAGCACTGCACAGCTCAGAAGTCTCATGCAAGGTATTAGGCAAAGTTTAATTTGATTGTAAGAATCAAAGGAAAACAATCAAAGACCAAATTGTAAGTAAAAACATTCAATATTCATCATACAACACAAAACCTGCAACCTGACATATCTGTTCTTTCTTTCTAGAAACTGAATGTGAGAATTCTGAAATAGCTGAAGGTATCACATGGTGCATGTCAAATTGTAGATCTGACAGAAAAAAAAGGGAAACTTGGGATTTCTTTTCTCCTCTTACTTTCTTTTTTAAAGTAAGCAGAAAAATCTCCAAAATTAATTTAAAAAGCAAAACAAAACACACACAAAAAATAAATTTAAAAAACTCCAGCTTTGTTGTCAGGTTATCCATCCAGGACATGCTATGATAACTTTATTAATGTAGCTCACAAAAGCACTGTTAGTAAGGGGTGTTTGTTACTGCAGCCACACATGCATAGACCTGGCTGAGTGTCTCCTTCAGAATGTAAAACTTAGGGGCAAGACAGCTTTAGCAGGAAGTAACCTGCTAAATGGATGCAAAGTGAGTTCTACTGGATCAGAATACTAAAGAGATGTAGCATTTTGCTGATCCTAGCCAGTGAGTGACCAAGGCCACTGGTCATCAGGTTTCATGGGGTCAGGTCACTTGGGGTAAATGTCAGAGCCTTCATGGCCCTCCCCCTTCTCCCATCACATATTTACTAACAATCATGCCTGGGAGATGGCAAAGGACTTTTGAAATCTTATCAGGAAGGTGGATCTTTTTGAAATATATTGTCTATGATCCCATTGTAAGGAGAAATAGAGCCATCTGATAGGCTCACATGGGTTCCTGTTGTCTTTACTGGTGCAAAGACAGCAAAGACTTGGAGAGAGCAACACTGGTGTTTCTCCATACGTGGCTGAAACTCCCGACATTTGAATGTAACCCAACATCAAATGACTCCGAACCCAGATCTTAACCAGATTCTTAAATCAAGAAATAGGAAAATTTTACTTTAAACATTTAAAATATTCAGATAGGGATAGAGAAAGGTACAGAGGAGTTGGGAAGAGCACCTCGTGTCATGTTTAACTCCTTACACCTCTTTTTCTTTCCTGATCATTTTTGTGTCCTGATGCTTCTTTTATAATCCTGGAAGGTTTCTGAGGGCATTGCTATTAAGGATATTCTACATAGGACGTGTCCACAGTCTGTCTCTGGCAAACACTTCAGCTACTTCACGCTGTCAAGGGGTTGCAAACCTCATGTAGGCTTGAAGTTTGTGCTATCACACATTTAGAATGAAAACTAAAAGGGTTAATTTTTTCCCCCAAACTTTAGGAGGGAAAAAGCTCCCAAAGAGACTCTATGCCCAATTAAGATTCTAATTACCCAAAGCAAAAAGCATTAAAGCGTTTCTGTTGATGAGATCTTGGCTGACTTCCCCCGGCAAGAGAGCCTGCCCTGGCGCGGAGGGAACCAGGACAAATGCGCTCAGCACTCACCGAAGGTCGTGCCTGCTTCGGGCCTGCTCACCGAGGACACGATGACGAAGCCGAAGCCCTCGTTCTCCCCGCGCCGGATCTCCACGTCGTAGGGCTGCACCACGGTGCTGACCACGGTGCTGACCACGGTGCTGACCACGCCACTGCCCCCGCCGCCGCCGCTGCCAATACCGCTGGTGCTGCCGCTGCCCGAGCTCACGGTGTTGAGCGAGTTCTGGCTGCCCTGCGGGGTGCGCTTCTCCTCCGTCAGCGAGGCCGGCTGGGTGCTGCTGTGGTGGGAGGAGGCTGGCGAGGGCACCTCATTCTCGGTTTTCGGGACTGCAACAGAGATTCGCGTCTGAGTCTGATTTTTTTTTCTTTTTTTTTTTTTTTGCGGGGGGGAGTAATGAGGATTGAACTTAGGGTCACTGGAACACTGAGCCCCATCCAGCCCAATTTTGTATTTTATTTAGAGACAGGGTCTCACTGAGTTGCTTAGGGCCTCCCTGTTGCCGAGGATGGCTTTGAACTCGGGATCCTCCTGCCTCAGCCTCCTGAGCCTCTGGGATTATAGGCATGCAACATTGCGCATGGTTCACGTCTAAATCTTGACACCACCAAAAAACGTGCCCTGCCTCCCCTTCCACCTTCCCCTACCTCCAACACCTGAAATCTTATCAGGTGGATGTGGGACAGTGGCCCCTGGCCTCACAGGACTCAATACCTGAATGGAAAACAGCCTTTCTTAGGAACACTAACCATGTGGTGGCCAAGAACACTGATCCAAAGAGGAACTCCAAATCTTGTACTGCTATAGCGTATTCAAGTTGGCAGCAAGACTAGCCCACTCTGAAATAGCTCCCTGTTGCACAAAGGGCAATGGATAGCAAGCACGGACAGGGGCTGTATCAATGATGGCTACCATCTTGGCCTCACAGACAGCCTGAGCCACACAGTCATCTTGTCATGCCCTCTGAATCACATTTCTGCCCAGAGTTTGTTTTTCTCATGTAGGTGACTGTAAGTGGACTGAACATATAAAGTTTCCACACATTGGATCAGGGACAACACCTGTAAGAGGCACTTACAGCTTTTTTTCCTAGTTTCCACATGTCAGCATCTGCCTTAACCACACAACTGGGAGCATTAACCCCCTTCCAAATTCAGTCACCATTCCAGTTGTATGGCTTTGTCAGCTTGACAAAGTTAAAGCCAACAGAGGACCTGGGACCAACCGTGCCAAAATCAAAATGCATGTGGTGTCCAGGTAGTGGAGGAGGCTGTATTTATCTTCCAAAGCTTCTCCTTCCACAGGGGTTTTTCTCTTTAAATTGTAAAAAACATGCATAACATAAATTTGAACTTTATAAACATTCAGAAGTGCACAATTCAGGGGCATAGGTACATTATGGTTGTTGTACAACCACTATCAATGTCCATCTCCAAACTCTGTTGCTCTATGGTTTGTTTCTATGAATTTCACCACTCTAGAAACCTCACGAAGGCCGAATCACACAATCATTTTTCTCCTGTGATTAGCTCATTTCACTTGACATAATGTCTCTTCACAGGTTTAACATGCCTTTTATCCACAGTTAAATATCTAAAATATTAAAAATTTAAAAAAAAATAAACGTAAAACAAAGAGCCCACACACCTCACTATTTTTATTTGAGCCAGGGAAGTAAAATCCTTTTCCTTTTTTTTTTTTTTTTCCCTTGAACTCTAAAAACCAATTTTAGTTGACTACTGCTGCCTTAACAGAATACTATGTTAAAAAGGATTGTGAGGCCGTAAATGAGCTCTAGGAACATAATCTATGACTGATTAGCACTGGGCTGCAGTAGGTAGGACTCTCACACTGGAATTTAATATCTTAATTCTATAATTAATTACATACCACTTAAAGTTAGTTACACTCATTTAAAAAAAAAAGAAATCAATTAATTTTATCTGATAGGTATTTGTTATACTAATAATAACTATGGAGAATTGTTAATATCTGATGTCATATTGCTTTAGTAATTTAGTCGATGCAACCCTCAGTCTTCCTTTTCTACATTCTGGGCTATCTTACAGGCTTTGGGGTGGGAGACTGCATACAAGGATCAACAATTAAGGTATATGCTTTTAGGAAGCTGGTTAGCCAATGGAAAGGTCAGACTTTCACATCATGAGCTGTTTCAAATGGCAGATTCTGTGGGAAGTTATGCTCCATGTATGTATAATATGTCAAAATACAGCTCATTGCCACGGGTATCTAAAACGAACAAATTTTAAGAATGGTAGATTCTGATACAGAAGTAAGCCATGAGTCACAAGAATGGCAAACAGGAAATGTAAAATTTGAAAATGGGTGGAAGAAGGAGGGCATTTTGTAGAGAGAAAGTTATTTTTGAGCTAAGCAGGAAGGGATATGTAATATCTTGAGAACTAGAATTTGAAGATTGAGATCATGAGGAAACAATCACAGATGGCTTAGAACTAGCCAGTTCCACAGTTTGTTTGTTTGTAACAGAGGGAAATAGCTGGGTAGGGTGGTGCATGCCTATAATCCCAGGGGCTCAAGAGGCTGAGATGTGAGGATTGCAAGTTCAAAGTCAGCCTTAGCAATTTAGTGAGGCTCTAAGCAACTTAGTAGGACCCTGTCTCTAAGTAATATATTAAAAAGGCCTGGGGATGTGGCTCAGTGATTGAATGCCCTGGGTTCAATCCCCAGTAACCCCAGTACCAAAAAAAAAAAAAAAAAAAGGAAATAGAGAAGTTTGGTTTAATATATATGACAAGCAACCAAAAGGTACACTAGCATTAACCTTTCTATAGACTTTTTTCTTTTTCAGTACAAACCTAAGTTTGATTCTCTCAATTTGAAGCTGCAACTTTTCAGACATTCCTAATGACCTCTTTTGTTGAGGATTATCATTAAATGAAGAGGCTGGCTAAGTCCTGGTTGGTGAGGGGAGGGTGGGCAGGTCATCTATATTCAAGGAGACCCTTCTAGAAACCTTTGCTGAACATATGCAAATGGCACATTAAAGTACTTTTGAATGACAGTCATTTTGCAGGGTTGGAGAGAAGCAAACCATCTGGAAATCCTGAGCTCCATCACATTTGCAAACATTTGTTAAAATAGAAGCTTGAGGAGGCAGACACAGAAATGACAGAGCACAGGAGGAATGAATGAGAAAACGTACCAGCAAACACCACTTTTCGCCGCACTGTGAGATTGACGTGGCCCTGTTTGGCAGCTTGTTGCATAAGCTGGACCACGAGCTGGTGTGATTTCCCGATTACTGGTGTCCCATCCACACAGATTAATTCATCGCCAGACCTCAGGCGGCCGTCTGTATCAGCAGCACCCAGTGGTACGATGTGACCAATATAAATCTGTTGGGTAACGGATGATGGGTGAAACCTTGCCCTCCTGATTGACTGTGATACTGCCTCATTTCTAGGAATAATTCAATTCATTCACTTGGGTCCGCCTGCATGCCACCAGCATTTACTGAGCACCTACTGTATAAGTCATTGTTCTAGGTGCAACAACCATTTTGAAATTGAGAAAAGAATAACTGTTTCTTGCTTTGTTCCTGGATGTTTATCTGTGGTATGCTGGTGACACTCTTTTTTTTCCCCCTTTAGAGAAATAAATCCCTTTACCCCCCCTCATTTATGAACTCTTTTTTCCTTTCCTCTCTACCCAGGAAAACTCCTTTCATAAAATTCTGCTCATTTTAATTCTAACATGACTCTTTTTTAAGGGTTCAGTGCTAGGCCTAGCAATAGGACATGCCTGACGAACACGATCCAGTGAATGGATGAGTTCAGCAAGTTCTGGCCCGAGATCCCCATTTCTGTGGGTTTTATTTAGCACCTGAAAGCAGACCACTCTTTATGTTTAATGTCTGCCTGTTATACTTGCCATTCATTAAACTCGAGCTGAAGTATTTGTGTGTACCTTGTCTTCTCTGTAGTAGGTAACACTACAATCACCTTCATGAGACACCTGGTGTTTACAAGGGACTTGGACAAAACAGTGTCTAACAATATGGATTCTGCTCCTGGACTCTTGCCAGTGTCTCTGTGATCTTGGGCAAGTTAATTAACCTTTCTGCATTTTTATCTTCTGATTTGAAAATTGGGGATAAACTCATGGATCAGATGGATGAAAAGTACGTGAAAAGGCTTTAAAACAGTACTTGGCACACAGTGGGTGCTTAATGAATAACAGTGGCAGCTGTTATCCAAAAGAAACGAACAACACACATCTCTAGTTCTCTTTACTCCTATCAAATATGCTGCATTTATTCTAAACCCAAAGAAGCTCAGGCCCATGTTTCCTGACCCCTGTTTAGGGTTCTGTCATGACTCTGATCAAGACAGGGTCCTACTCTCATGTCTGACACACTGCCTGGTGTCTTCTCTGCGTACTAGCTACTCACCCTACAAAGCCCCCTACTTGCCGGTAGAGGAACAGACTTAGCCAAGGGGACCAGGCCCTGGCTTTATTAGTGGGAGCGCACCCCACTTCTGCCTTTCTTTTTCCACCCTCAGCTGCCATAGTCCACACACACACACACACACACACACACACACACACCACTATGAACTTTAAGGATTTCTTCCCTTCTTCCTCATGTCAAAAAAAAAAAAAAAAAAATCTGCAAAAGCCCAGGAGAATCCCACACTGCTCAGGATGAGAGTCAGAGCTGGGTGTAGCCGGACTCCTGTCTCCACGGCCTGTCACTGTGATCAATTTATTGTGAAGTGTCAGAACACAGCACTTGAAGAAAGAAGCAGACAAGACTCACAGGTTCCCCTGGCTCATTTCCACCTAGAATCCTAAATCCGAATCCAGTCTCTTTTCTCCAGAGGAAGATGTCCTGTTCCTGGTAGTCGGGAACTGCAGAGAGGGGAGAAGGAAGGCAGATTATTTGGCTGGTCAAAGGAATCATGGCCCTAAGATGAGCACAATTATAGGACCGAGACTGCCAAGGCTTGAGCAGATGAAAGCGTTTTGACACAGGCAGACAGACAGAAGGATCCAGACAGGTGAGTAACAGAGGACACGGGCACAAGAAACAGACCAGTCACTGGGCCCTAAGTTCTTCAAAGAACTGTCACTGATGATTCCTAACCAAGTCCACACCGTTACGGCCACCTAAGAGAGGGGTATTGTTGTAAGGGAATTAAGTAAATTAAAAAGTTTTATCAACTAGGGAAATGGAAGAAAATGACTTGGGTTAAAAAGTGTTTCTGATTGATTTGTTTTTATTTTTTGCTTTTTATGTACTAGGTGTTGGACCCGGGGAGGTCTACCACTAACCTACATCCCATCCTTTTTTGGTTTTTGAGATAGGGACTTGCTAAGTGACCAAGGCTGCCCTCAAACTTGCGATCCTCCTACCTCAGACTCCTGAGTTGTTGGGATTACAGACGTACATTACCGTGCCTGATTCTAATTTGTGTTTTTTATTTATTTTTTTAATTGTAGATGGACACCATACCTTATTTTATTTATTTTTTTAATGTGGTGCTGAGGTCGAACCCAGGGCCTCCTACGTGCAAGGCAAATGCTCTACCACTGAGCTACAACCCCGGCTCCTAATTTATGTTCAAGTCACTTTTTTCCTCCTTAAGATAATCAAGATGAGTAAAACTAATAATTTGATTTGTTAGATCATTTTCACCAAAACATTTACTCTCAAAGATTGGGGGTAGCTCAGTGGTAGAGTGCTTTCCTATTTGCCAGGCCCTGGTTTTGCTCCCCAGCTCTGAAAAAAACAAAAACAAAAAACCTAGTTCTTCCAAATGCAAAGTTTACAGGATTTTAATACCATCACCGAAAAAGATAGTCGACCTTTCATGATGACAAAAAATTCCATGCTGGGCACGGTGGCACACGCCTGTAATCCCAGAGGCCTGGGAGGCTAAGGCAGAAGGATCATGAGTTCAAAGCCAGCCTCAGCAGCAAGGACCTAAGCAACTCAGTGAGACCTTGTCACTAAGTAAAGTATAGTAAAAAGGGCTGGGGGTGTGGCTCAGTGGTTAAGCACCCCTGGGTTCAATTCCCCAGTACAAAAACAATCCAGATTAACCAACCACAACTCATTGTTAAAATGACTACTTCATTCCAGAATCTGCCTATATTTCAACATTGAAAGTACTCATTTATTACCCAATAACTTGATATCTTATGTTTAGCACTCAGTAATGCTTAAGGGCTTTAAAATAAAAATATCATTTTTAAAAAGAAATTTCTAGAAAAATAGATGCCTACTATATATGAAATAATTCTATATACCACTCTGTTCCTTCACTAAGGTAATTAAAAAGGGCTATTTTCACTTAATTTTTAAATATGCTTGAATGTATACATAGGGTATTTTTGGCCTATAAAGTGACATCACTTTTATTTAAAGAGAACATCTATAATTTAGTTGCTGTGAATCCTTATGGAGATTTCAAAATACTGTTCTGCATACTTTCTGGTTTGTTTAATTAATGGTATTTAGGGCTTAAGAGGTGAGTAGTGAAAATTTTATTCTTTCCCCAAGTTTGTACAGTAGGATATAGAAATGAAGAACGTGGCTATGTAGTTTTCTGGTCAGCGAGAGTGTCCCTTTACAGGTGTAGAGTGACTAAATACACCAAGAGGCAGGGAACTGTCAGGCAGGTACAAGCCAGAGGATTCTGAATCTCTTATTTTCCCTGAGCTAGCTGCACGCTCTGGCTTTACACAGGTGCTTTTCATCCAATCCTCTTTTATTGTAATTGCTGTAGCTAAGCTGCCACGGAACACAAGCTCGGCGACATCATAAGATGCCCGTAAAAGCAATTGGAGAGTAATATTGAGCACACTAAGGTAACTGTATATATGTATGTATATATCTGTGCAAGTCGATGGGTAAAGGGTATTTGCTGTAATAGCCTCATTGAAACAACAAATTAAGTCAAGCAGCATCTGGTCTTTGGTTCACTCAAGTAGGAGGGTTATTACCCTAATAGAGCACTGCTCTTTGCCAGCCTCAGGGCCTATCTGAAGTCTGCCAAGGGCTAGGAGGCCTTTCTGGGGACAGAGAAAGGGCCTCTGCAGAGACCTCCAGCATCTTAGCATCACTTAACACAGGGACATTTGCCCACCCCACAGGGACACCAAATGGAGCCCCTTCTTGCCTGATGTTGCACACTTAGGTGTCAGCCATCAAGGTGGGGCAGGGGTGGCTGCAGATTCAGGCTTACCACACAGCTCAGTCCCCAGAGAGAGAGCATTTGCTTCCTTTGGAGAATCAATGGGAACCTGGCAAATCTACTCTGAGAGTTCTCCCTTGAAAAGAAAGCCGCCCAGTGACACTCGGGATGTTAAAGACACCACCAATGAGTCAGGAAACACAGACACAAACACAGACCCCAGGACAAAGCAAGTCTTTTGGTACTTCAGCTTTAGCATCTTAACAAATGGACTTTTCCACCAATGAAGTGTCATTTGCCCAAATATATACCTTTGGTGATGAATCAATGCTGAAACTTATTATGGGATTCCCAAATCTCTCTCCTCTGATGCCACTTCATAGAGGTACTGAGCTTTCTCAACTGCTTACCTCAAAAGGTTTAATTCTCTATTTTAGGCAGATTCTATTAGAATTAAGTGAGGTTTTTTAGTTCCTGAAATTGAACTCAGGGGCACTCGACCACTGAGCCCTAGCCCTAGCCCTGTTTTGTATTTTATTTAGAGACAGGGTCTCACTGAGTTGATCAGAGCCTCGCTAAGTTGCTGAGGCAGCCTCAAACTTATGATCCTCCTGCTTCAGCCTCCAGAGCCACTGGGATTATAGGCATGAGCCACCATGCCCAGCTAGAATTAAGTTTGTAATAAACCAGTGGGGTAAGAGCCATTTTTATATTAATATCACTTTATTTTTATCTTAGTGAGGCTAATCACATAGAACTAAGAAAACCTTGTCCAGTTGTCTTCATTTTTAAGTCTTGCCTGGGAAACCATCTTAGCAGTTAGTCTCCTTTGGGCAATGCCAATAACAACTCAATAAAGCACTCAAAAGACTTCCTTTGATAACTGGGGACAATGGGGGAACCAGGTTCGCAGAGACCCTCTTGATGTCCCCATGGACAGAAACACAATGTCGAAGACCTGTACCACGCCTCATCTCATCTTGTCAATAGTTGACACTAGGCAAAGGGGACAGGCCACTGGCTTCCCTTCAGGGCGCACTACCCTCCCTCCGTTTTCTGACTTTCCCCCCAGGTCCCCAGACGGATGGGAACACGGAACAAGATGAATGATAATGGAGAAATACAAGTCCACAGCAGGGTCCTTACTCTGACATTCTCCAAAATTCGTGGAACTGATTTCTCTCTCTCTTTCCCCCTTGCTCAATCCTGATGCAGGCGAAGGTGACATAGCTGGAATATTAATTTCACAGTTTTGCAAACCCTTCATGTACATTCTTTGTTAGTTCATTTCAGCTCAGTTGTGATTGATGAGGGATCGCGCCCCTCGGTACAGTGGGTCATGGCTGCTATGGATTTTAAGGGCTATGATTTGATGGTTTTTCTTTTTTTGTATTTTGGCTTCTTTTTTTCATGATGCTTTACTTGTCAAAGAGCTAGAATTTCTAATTGTACCACGGAGAGTTCCTATGACTCCCTTTAGCACCTTAGGCTCTTCACATTTAATTAGACTCTAAAATACATTCTCCGATGAACTTGTTTCAATCATGTCTCAATCTACAGAAGGTTCATCTAAACCCTCATTGCCTTTTGAGAAAAAAAAAATCGGTAAATCTGCAACACTCATATTTATTTAGGAGTGTATGAAGTTCCTGACGGAACTCCTCCTTGTACTAAGGCCAGTCCAGGTGAATTTTAGGCAGTTCAAACCGAATAGTCTCATGCTCACAGACACACAATTGTCAAATCTGCCCCAAGATCTGAATAAACACATAAAATAGGAATCATTATGACAGTGCTTAAAATCTAGAAGTACTCATGAGCTCCTTAGACACCATGATGAAGGAGCTCAGTCATCAATTCCAAACTTCTAAGCGAGTCACTCCAAAGCAGGACAGGTTGACAATGTTGGTTGATAGGAGCACTTTGAGCATTTTTTTTCTTTCTTTCTTTCCAAACTATATTGCAATTAGGCAAAATTTCAATGGCAAGCTTTAAAAATTCTTTGGAAATAAATGCTACTGGATGCTAGCCAATTTTCCCGAACATTTACTAATAAGATTGTGTCAATGTCATGACATGTGCACAATTGGTATGTTATCTGGAGAAAATACAACATGGCTTTTAAAGGACTTTAATGCTTGTCTTTGTTTTTAATCAAACATGGAAACCCTTCAAAGGGATTCATTAACATCTGTAATTCAGACGGATTCATTTTGACAATGCTGTTTTGGCATTGAAGAATATGGTATTTTATAAAACAGTTAGACCTATGAAGCAAAGTGATCAAAATGTGTTTAGCTGGTGCAGTGGTGCCATCCAGCAGCTCGGGAGGCTGAGGCAGGAGGATCACGAGTCCAAAGTCAACCTCAGAAACTTAGCAAGGCCCCCAAGCAACTCAATGAGACCCTGTCTCTAAATAAAATATTAAAAAGGGCTGGGGATGGGGCTCAGTGTCAAAAATTTTAAAAAAAAAAAGCAAAATGTGTTCATCTGTTCATCTTCAAGCTGCCCTTAACAATAAAATTAGACATAAGGGCAAGATATTCTCAACCAAAAGGGGATCATCTGGTACAATTAAGGAACTGCTGTAGACTTCTGATGTTTTTTCCTGGAGTACTCTGCTCATTTCAAGCTACCCAGGGCATGCCCTGGATTTTTGTTATGGTTCTTAAAAGACAAGACACAAAATAACCCAGGGCAATGGCAGAAACTGATCTGGGATTCAAAAAAAAAAAAAAAGTCCTGATTCCAAGACAAGACTGACTCGAGTTCCTTCATTCATACTGTGAAAAAAAAAAGGAAAAAAGAAACTGTGACAGCTACAGAACAATTACCACGGGTGGGGGAAGTGTCATCATTTCTCTCACTTAGCAGGGAGGAGAAAATCCATGGGAATCTTCACATCAATTAGGCTGCTGCTATCGCTCCATTAGGGAGCCTGCAATCACCACAACGAAATGGATTCTCATTTGGGCTGTTCTATCTGATTCCTTCGATGTTAAAGAAAGTGAAGGCGCAGAACTGAAACCATCCCAAATATTTCATTCCAGCTGCCATTTGAGCCTTTTCAATGCTGACAGCAGCTGGTTATGGTCACATTAGATATTATTTCATTCTGGTGGAAACTTTCATAAAAATTGGATGAAAGACCCAAATCCTAAGAAATGCTGTTCCCATCTGGGTGAAAACGAGTTGGAGCCTCCTATCGAACAGGTGCAGGAGAATGGTCTTGCCAATCCAGGAGGGCGCTGCCAGCCCTTCAAAGCGTGATCTATTTTATCACAGTGAGATTCGTACATGGAAAACTCAATCATAAATGTGTACTGTACTGAGAAAAGCAGGAGCGTGGTCAATAAAGCAATAATATCTCAACATCCCCTGAAGCTGGGCATTGATTGGAGGAGTCTCATGGTTAGAGAGGAATGTGTAGGGAATATGAAAATAGTCCCCTTTGGAAAACATTCTTCAGTAGTGTTTTTTTTTTCTTATTTAAGTGAAATCATTATAATGAGGGAGGAGACGTCGTGAGGATGGACCCAGGCTCTTACTAGTTGAGCATCCCTAATCTAAAAATCTGACATGCTCCAGAATTGGAAACTTTTTAAATGCCAACACAGCACCGCAAGTAGAAAGTCCAACACCACCAGACTTAAGTTTCATGTGCAAAATTATTAAAAATGTATAATATTACTTTCAGGGTATGTGTATAAGGTACATATGGAATGCAAATGAATTTTATGTTTAGACTGGGATTCTAGCCCCAGGATATCTCATTATGGAAATGCAAATATTGCAAAAGGTGAAAAATTCCAAAATCGGAAATACTTCTGGTTGCCAGCATTTTGGATCAGTGTTAGGGTTGGGATGTGAGGTGATCCCCAAAAGCTCACATGTGAGACGGTGCAGGAAGGTTCAGAGGAGAAATGACTGGGCTGTGAGAGCCTTAACCCAACCAGTGAATGAACCCCTGATGGGATTAACTGGGTGGTGGCTGGAGGAGGTGGGTGTGGCTGGAGGAGGGGGCATTGGGGGCGTGGCTCTGGGGTCTCTATTTGTCTCTGGAGAGTGGAGTCTCTCTGCTTCCTGATCGCCATGTGAGCTGCTTCCCTCCACCACACTCTTCCTCCATGATGTCCTGCCTCCCCTGGAGCCCTGAGGAATGGAGCCTGGTATCTATGGACTGAGACCTCTGAAACTGTGAGCCCCCAAGATAAACTCTTCCTTCTGTATAATGGTGCTGGTCAGTTCCTTCAGGCACAGAAGTGATAAACTAAGACAGCCAGGGATGCTCAGCCTGTGCTTGCCGCTCCTGTGTGTGAGGGAGGGATGTTCCAAATGGAACCTCATTCCCTTCAGCCCGGTCTCTGGGGGACTTCAGTGATATCTTTCTAACCTCTGCACCATGACCTCTATGGGGGCCCTGGCTGAGAAGTGACCACAGCTGTGGCTGGAACTATAGCCATGGTAGGGGTGACAGGGACAAAGGGACAGGCAAGTCTCTCAGGCCCTTCCACCCTACGTTCCCTCTCCTGACAATCTTTCCCACTCCATGCGAAAAAGGGAAAAGGAGGGGCAGAGAGGTCACAGGTGGGCCGCCCCTGATCAGGAGAGAATGTCAGAAGTTGCCACACCCCCCAAAAAGGCTCAACGGGCACCATCTAAAATTCAAACTTTGTAAGAACTTTCGCCATTGAGATAAATGAGTATCATTTATGGTGAATAGCTTTTGGAAATCATTTCATAATAAAGAGGAAAAAGTTAAACTGAAAGGGTTTAACAGGCTTATCAAAGCCAAGAAGTTACAGAGTACACCATCACTAACTTATTTTTATAGGAAAGGTAAAACCAAAGAAAACACTTACTCACTATATAAATAATTAAAGCCTAGTTCACACCCCCCCCCTTTTTTTTGGAGGGCATGTTTAGAAAAACTGAGAATGATTAAAAAAAAAATTACCAGTATTTTTCAAAACCAAGTGACCACAAAGTAAGCATTTAATTTCTCCTCGTTACCTCTAAAATCATATTTTCCTCTTACCACCCATACATATTTAGGTTCTATTATCTATCAGACTGTCTTGCAAGACTCCAGTTCAGGTAAGAATATAGGAGACGGCCATTCTTATCTGCCCCTTCTTTCAACTACAGAGAAAAATAAATGGGTTTTTCTCCAGGCTGGGGATTGGATGGGCATCCCTTTCTACCCTGTTTCCCAACCTGGAGACATAACGGAGCCTCCAAATGGAGATCCAGCAGATGGTGCTTTCTGAGGAGCCTAGTCCTCATCCTGATATACCCTGGTCCAGTTTACACTCGGAGCCTTGCTGTGTTGGAGGAGCCCGGCCCAGGGGAGGGGATTGGGGCAGGCAGCCTGGGGGCACTACTCACGTCGGTTTTCATACATGCTCCTGGACTGGGCCCAGATTTTAAAAGGATCTGGTTTCTTCTGCCCAGAGCTGTCGATCTGATCTGGAGCGGGAGCCTCGGTAGGTGGGTACTCGGGGAGCACCTGCGTGTTGTGACTCGGGGACGCTGTGTGCAGGCTCCGGTGGCTGGAAGCGCTGTGTTGAGAACTACTCTGGCTGTCTTTCCTTTCCAGTGGTTGCTGAAAGTAAGCAAGAGATCATTGCCGGTTTACCAGTGGGCATTTTCCCACCAGCTCGGCTCTGTTGGACACTTTTGCAAACACTGTCCATAAATACATCAACAACCTTTGGGTGTCCTCCTTCTCCAGTGAGTGCAGAATGCAGATAAATCCCCAAGTGATTGGCAGACAGATAGAGGGGCAGGCCAGACAGAACGACATAATCACAAAGCACACTGTTCTCTGGGCTGCAGCAGAAAACAAATCTAATTCTCTTCATAGGTTCTGAGCTAAGACACTGGGCTGGTTTACTGCAAGATGGATCAGCTTTAACCTCCTCATTTCTTGACAAAAACATGTGACACAAAATACCAGGAGTGGTTTAGCCATAGGGAATAACATCTAGAAGAAATACAATCAGGGCTAAAAGGCCCCTTGGGGTACCATATGTTGCATCTTTTGATAATAAAACATACAAGTCCTCTCTAAAGGTTTGCATCAGTTCTTCTAAAACAGGGAGAAGATGAGGGATGTAGCTCAGTGGTCCAGCATGGGTGAGGCCTGGACTTCAATGCCCAATACTGCAGAAGCAAACATGGTGATAATGCACCAATTAAAAAGTGGAAAGAAAAACCAACCAACAAACAGACCAGGAGAAACAGAAAAAACATGCTTAGTTATATGAAGACTGATAGTTAAAGATTAAAAAAAAAATGCTATCATGGGAAAAGCTTTCATAATTCTTAGCTAATCAATTTTTCAGATGTGGTTTAAAAGTCAAGACCAGTGGTGCACCCCTATAATCCCAGCTGCTCAAGAGACTGAGACGGGAGGATCAAGAGTTCAAAGCCAGCCTCAGCTACTTAGTGAGGCCCTAAGCAATTCAGTGAGACCCTATCTCTAAATAAAATACAAAAAAAGGGCTGGGGATGTGGCTCAGTAGGTAAGAGCCCCTGGGTTCAATCTCTGGTATCGAAAAAAAAAAAAAAAAAAGTCAAGACTGAACTTTATATATGGTTGATTCCTGGGGGGTCAGCCTCCTTAAACTTGCAACTTATCCACAGTCTAAGTGGCATTTGCAGGGGAGTTCCAATTAAATTTTAAGAGAAGAAGCAAGTTCCTGTTCATTAAAACCAGCTAAGCAGAGGCCCTTCCCATTTCATGAAACGCTCTTTGAATGGCAAGGGAACAGAGAACAAAACCTACCGAGAAGAAAAATGATGGGTGGAAAATAAAATAATTTAGCTCCTATTTTCTTTAATAAAAGACTGTGGTAATTCCAGGTATTCCGTTTCCTCTATTCAGAATAAAACTCCTAGAATCCTGCCTCCTGTGTAAGAGATGTCACATCACCATAGTTACGTGCTTGAGCATCACGGTAAAGGGGGAGAGGAAGGGCATCTCCATCCTCTCTAACGGATCCTGGGCAGCTTGTGTTTTTTAAAGTAGTTTATAAGATCTTCAACCTCAAGCATCTCGGTTCCCTCAACTCTTTCATCAGGTGTCATCATCAGAGACATCTGAGGACCGTATCCTACACTTGGGGAAACTGTGAGCGAGGCTTGATTCCATCCGATCCAAGGGGATGCGAAACTGGTGAAGACACCAGGAAAATGCATTGGCCTTTGGGTGGCGACAAACACCACCGCCAACACCACAACACCCTGTTCTCACTGATGATGAAGAGCTCAGCCCAGAGGTGGAAGGATCAGCACTCCAAGCCCTGGAACAGAACTTGGACCCCACCCTCCTCCAAGTGCCCTCAACCACTGTGCATTGACTATCAGGCCAGGTGTTGGACCTCTGTCCTAAGAGGTGACCCCTGTCCTCTAGCTCCCCAGAGCAACAGTGAAGATATGAGGGTGAGAAAATGACCAAGACAGATAAGACACCCCTTCTCTTTTGCATGCCAGTAGGGATATGTTTTTCTTTTCATGTGTCCCCTAGAAAGGTATCAATATTATAAACAACCATGCACAAGATCAGCACACTGTTGGTGTGCACACACACCACAATATGTAGAAAAAACGTGGAATTATGGCTGGGTGTGGTGGCGCATGCCTGTAGTCCTAGTAGCTTGGGAGGCTAAGGCGGGAGGATCTCAAGGCAACATCCACCAACCATCATTTCCTTTTTGGGTGGGTACCGGGGATTGAACTCAGGGGCACTCAACCACTGAGTCCCATCCCCAGCCCTTTTTTATATTTTATTTAGAGACAGGGTCTCACTGAGTTGCTTAGTGCCTTACGTTTGCTGAGGCTGGCTTTGAACTCACGATCCTCCTGCCTCAGCCTCCAGAGCTGATTGGGTTACAGGCGTGCGCCACTGTGCCCAGCCTGCTATCTCTTTTGTAAGGTTACTCTGGGTCCCTGCACTACAGCCTTCTTGGACCATTGGCCCCTTGAAACCTAACTTTAACCTCTTCCACCGTATCTTTCCCCTGAACTGGAGAAAAAGACCTTTCCGGCAACCCTACCCCACTGAGAGAGTGTGAGGAAAGTGCTGGAACTTCCTGCTGCAGAGAGTGCCCCTGTGCTTTTACCCACTTTCTACACACATGTGCTTATACACTCGGCATGCCACACGAGGGCTTCCAGGACCCTAAAACGTCCATACAATAAAACTCTAGCCTGGAAGATTGATTGATTGATTTAAGGACTGGGGATTGAACCCAGGGTGCTTAACCAACTAGTGACATCCTCAGCCCTTTTTTATATTTTATTTAGAGACAGGGTCTTGCTAAGTGGCTCAGGGCCTTGCTGAGGCTGGCTTTGAACTCGCCAAGCCTCCTGCCTCAGCCTCCCAAGCTACTGGGATGACAGGTATGTGCCACTGTGCCCAGATGACCTGGAAGATTTGAATCTCTTTAACTAGAGAGGTGACTTCACCATAAAGAGAATGTACATTTGGAATCCACTGGCAAGGCCTGGATCATTTTTCAAATTATAATAGCCTTTCTCACCTCCCAAATAAGTGACTTATTTAGCTTCAATTTAATACACAATGACAGATACAATTTGGAATAAGGTTGCAAAACTGCTTCTCAGTTGAATTGTACCTTGGAGTCCCTTTTAAATGCCATCTAAATCTTGTCCCTCTATTTGGCAGAGAAGTACAGGTGCATTGTGAGAATGTGCTCTCCAAACGGTGCCACCACTAAACTGCCATTGACTGGCATACACAAGTGGCCTATTAGTGGGCTAAGTACAGAGTATTCTGGAGAAGAGTTTTACATTTCTTCTTTGGTAAGACTTAACTTTATGATCCATCTCAAAATCATTTAAATGATTTGAAAATGCATTTGAAAATAGATTTGAAAATGGATTCAGTATCAAAACTCTTGTTGGCACTCTGGGAGATATATATATATATACACTTAACTATGCTATTTGTATGTAAAGTTTTCAAATATGATTTTTATTTTCTGGGAGCATGCTAATTATTTATGATGCTGTCTTTTATCTGGTTATGCCCTGGATTGTTCAAAAGAAAAGCTACATTTACGTATATATACATCTATCTCCCAAAATTAAAGTTAACTTGTATGTCTTTTCTAGATTACCTCCCTAAGGACTTGGGACTTGAAAGTAAATTCAGTTTTGAACTAGTGACAGCCTGGGACCAGGTCTGCATTACTGTGATTGTCTTTTGCCTCATTCTCTTAGGTGAGACACCAGCTTTTATTTTATTTTTGGTACAGGGGATTGAACCAAGGAGTGCTCAACCCCTGAGCCCCATCCCCAGCCCTTTTTTATATTTTATTTAGAGACAGGATCTCCCTGAGTTGCTTACAGCATCACTTTTGCTGAGGCTGGCTTTGAACTCATGATCCTCCTGCCTCAGCCTTCCGAGCCACTTGGATCACAGGCTTGCACCCCACCCCAATTCCTTTCAAGCTTCTTAAAGGGACCCTGTGTATACTAAAAACATGATGGAGAGAAGCATCTGGTACACCAATGGCAGAATATCATCCCAGGCCCTCCTCTGACTACCTGCAACAAACTCACTGTACCAACAAGTATGTGTTGATGGTTGTGCCTGTGTTGGAGCCTGGGGGTGCACAGTGGGTAAATAAGGGTACCTGACCTCCTGGAATGTATATCTGAACGTGTAGCTGATGCCCGTGACTGTATGTGTACGGGTGGACATTAGCCAAATGGCCCTCCTGTATTGAAAACTGCATGAAAACTGCACACTGCAATGTCCTTCAGATACGAGGTACCAGGAACCTGTGGAGGAATGTTCGACCAACAGTCACAGCAGCTTCTAAGTCCCCAGGGTAGAAAGGCCGGCCCTGCCCGGCAGGGCAATGGGGTGGTCTAAGATGAACTCGGAGGCCAAGTCTGCTTCCAGACTGTGGCAGGGAGTCTGCACTTGGCTTTTGGCTTGGGAGATGGGGACCCACTCATGATCTAAAGTGGCCAACATACTCCCAGAATGTTGTTCCGGCTCCTGGGCAGGGAGCTGAGCTGGGAAAGCAGTGGAACAGGCAGGCCAATGAGGAGGCTGTCCCTGCAGTCCCCTGGGGGACAGAAGAAGGGGGTGTATTACAAACAGGGTTCCTGCCCTCCACGTCTCCAGCTTCAGCAAATGCTTGGGATTTGAGAGAGAGCAATACCAAGCACTGCCACTTTTTTTTGTTGTTGTTATGGGGATTGAACCCAGGGATGCTTGACCACTGAGCTACATCCTCAGCCCTTTTGAGGGTCTTGTTAAGTTGCTGAGGCTGGCCTCGAATCTGGGATCTTCCTGCCTCAGCCTCCCATGTGGCTGGGGACAGAAAAACTGCAGGCATGCATCACTGCACCCAGCCATGCTAATATTTTTGAAGCAAGAATTTGATTTGAGTCTCAAATCACAGCAAATTAGGAAGAAGGAAAGGGGCTCGATTTTAAAACCTCCATAAAAGTCCTTAGCCACACAGTGGCCCTGATCTTGTATCATAAGACCTTCTAAGACAGAACCGTACCATCCTCCCTGAAGTGAACGACCCTTACACTGCTTCCTGTCAGGCCAGGATA